AGCTGGTGAGGACAGAGAGCGGGTGAGCCGGGAAGCTGGGGGAACGTTGGTTATGCTCAGAAGGCAAGAACGCAGGGGGAGAGGAGGATCAGATGTGACCCTGAGGAGTCTGGAGTGGGTTCCCGGGACTCTGGAGAGCCACAGGAGGGATTTAATCAGGGATTTAATATGATCAGCCTCTTTTGTTTGGAGGATTCTCTGCTGGTGGAGAATTGATCAGAAGGGGCAAGGCCTCTGGTTAGGAGACTGTGGCAGAAATGCAGATGAGAGATGCTGACGATTGGAACTAAGGCAGTGGCCTTGGGAGTGGTGAACGCTGGGAGGATTTGAGAGATACTTAGTTAGAATTGAAAAGACTTGCTAACTGTCTGGCTAGGCTAAGGGCTGGAATCCTCACAGTGCCAACTGTCTAGCTCTTAATCCTGTTCGTGACACCAATTGTAAAGCTAGGCTAGGTGACCACGCCAGTTGTTGGACTCTTTCACCTGCCGGTAATCCTGCACCAACTGGGCCAACTGCCGAGCTAGGGCTGGGTCTCGAGCTCCCAGACCCCTCAAGCCCATTCACAGACTGGGTCACAAACCCTTCATACGCCAGGCTGGGTCACCAGACCCCACACACGCCAGCCTGGGTCACCAGACCCCTTCACACAGATCTATGAACTAGGTAACCGGCCAAAAGGTCCTTGGAGCCGTAGGTTGGAAAGCATGGCTGTGCCGGGCGGATGCCCGCGGCTGACGCCCACTCGCCTGCTTCACTAAAACTCTCTCTCTCTCTCCCTCTCCCCCCCCCCAAGAACACAAGAATAGCAACAAAACTAAAAAGATACATTGGCACACATATGCACTAACTACACACACACACACACACACACACACACACACACACACACGCAATTTGCTTACAAAGGATGCTGAACCACACCCAACTGGACCCAAGGCGAGGGCCCTGACCAAACTATTCTATTTTCCCAACGGTAACCGATCAGATGTAAAAAGTGGTAATAGGAGCAAAGGCAGGTAGTGGGATTTCAACGGAGACTGCTGAGTGGATGGTGATATATTTGACTAAGGATAGAACCAGGAGGCATGATGGCGGTGAGAGGAGGGATGAGTGATGGGGCCACCTGAGCCTGGAGCTCAACAGGGAGAGAACTGGGCTGTGTGTGGAAACTTGGGAGTCGTCAGCATCCAGATGGTCACTGAGGCGGAGGGAATGTTTGTGAGAACCCCTGGGGAAAGTGGGTGGGATGGGAAGGTGGCCAGAGAGTTGTGAGGAGCACAGGGCAGCTGGTACACCGGCTAGTGCGCTAGCTGCAGGACGGGCGCGGGGAGGAGCTGCAGGGGAGGCGGGCACGGGGCGGGAGCACAGCCGAGGCAAGCGGGGAAGTCAAGGAAGAATCACTTCGAGATGGAGGCAACAGTCAGCAATGCCAAATGCTGTCCATAGACGGGTAAAGACTAAAAGGTAAAACACTGGATTTCCAGGAGGTTGGAGATTTTGTTGAGAAGAATTTTAGAGGAAAAAGAAAACCAGTTTGTAGTGGGTTAGGAAGAAACTGAATTGAGGAACAGAAAGTCTAGAACAGTCTTCCAAGAGGTTTGGTGTAGCGGGGAGGAGAGAGAGGATGTAGTTAGGGGGGACTGTGGCATCCAGGGAGGGTGTTTTTGTTGTTTTGTTTTTAAAAGGGGAGAAATGTAAGAATATTTAAATGGCATAAGGTAGGAGTCTCTAAAGAGGGAGAGTTTTTGAAGATTACATCTTGGTCAATGGGTTTGTCAAGAAATGTAGGAAGATGTTCTGTGCTGAAGTTTTCTTTTTCGTTTTTTTTTTTTTTTTTTTAAAGATGACTGGTAAGGGGATCCTAACCCTTGACTTGGTGTTGTCAGCACCACGCTCTCCCAAGTGAGCTAACCGGCCATCCCTATATAGTATCCGAACCCGTGGCCTTGGTGTCATTAGCACCACACTCTCCCAAGTGAGCCACGGGCCGGCCCCTGTATTAGTCCGTTTTCTGTTGTTGATAACAAAATACCTGAAACTGGATAATTTATAAGAAAACAGAACTTATTTTCTACAGTTTTGGAGGCTGGTGAGTCCAAGGTGCAGGGGGCACATCTGGTGAGGGCTTCTTCCTGGTGGGAACTCGGTAGAGTCCCGTGGTGACAAAGGGCCACGTAACCAGGGCCAGGTGAGAGCGCTCACTTAACGTGCTCACTCGCTCTCCTTATAACGTCACCAGTTCACACTCATGATATCCCATTAATCCACGAACCTGTGACTGGATTAATCCATTCATGAGTGCAGGGCCCTCACCATCCAGTCACCACCTTTCAACACGGCCACATTGAGAATCAATCTTCCACCGAGCTCTGGAGGGACAAACATTCACCCATATCACCCCCTTCCCTTGTGTCTGATGAATAATCGTGACGACAGTGATTTCATATTGACTTTGCATACTTTTATACTGTCGAAGCATTTCCACAGCCTTTCCCTCTCTTGCTCCTCACAGGAGTTCAGTCGGGCCCCTGTGTCTTACACACAAGCCAACTGAGTTCAGAGAGGCCTGCGGCTTGCCCCAGGACACAGTGCTCAGCAGCAGAGGTCTCACACCCAGCGTCACTGTCACCGCCTTCCATGGGCTGCAGCTGCCCAGGGAGCCCATAATGGAGCTGCTGGGACCCGTGGCATGTGGACTGAAGAAACAGGTGAGGTGGCCAACTGTATGCACCTGAGCGTAGGGGGCCTCTGTACTGGCGAGAGACTTAGGCAGCCGGTCTTTTTACTGGAAGTTCACGGGTGGAGATAATTTGGTGTTGTGAGGAAGTACCAGTAGATAATGCTGAGGTAACTCACAGAACTTTAACGCAAATTCCTAAGTTTAGCTCAGAAGCGAAGGTTTGGCAGCTTGTCTCAAAGAGCTTCCCCTGGGCTAGCAGGTCGGCTCAGTTGGTAGAGCGTGGTGCTGATAACACCAAGGTCAAGGGCTCGGATCCCTGTGCCAGCCAGCTGCCAGGGGGGTGGGGAATACCTGTAGATATGAAAGCAGTCTCCCAGTGGGAATGTCCCACACTGAAAGGACAGCCATCCAACTGGGTGATTCCAGGGGTTCCCGTAAGACTGCCTTCTCCCCAGGTACCTTTCTCTTCCGGTGGGCTGAAGTCCTAAGGCTAGAGCTTAATCTCTTTAGGTTTGTGTCTCTGATTCCCATTCAAAGACCAATGCCTCAGGGAAGACTAGTACTCCAGGCTGTCACTGACCTATGGTTTCAGGTCTCCTCCTGGGGTGGAGGAGAAGCAGGACAGATGGGGAGGCTGCTCCCCATAACGAGAGAGGTTGGTCACCAAAGGGAAGCTCGGTGGGCCATTCGCTCTGGTCAGTGTCTGGTCCTGACCTGGCATCCTGGGATGGGGACACACACCAAATACACTGGTTGATGTACTCCTTAGTAATAAAGCTAATCAATGAGGAATGAAGATTCTTGCAAGACAAGACGTTTCTAAAATGGATCTTAAATGAGCAAAACGAAAAGCGCTTCCTGCTGTGGGAGGCCACACTGGGAGGAGACCCCTGTCCCCGCAGCTCTCCAGCGCTGCCCTTCCTCTCCAGGGGTGCTTTGGTTGTGGATGGATCCTGAAGTCAGAATTCAGATTTTGGCTCCTACCTAAGGACTCCTTAGGGACCACGTGATGTCTCTGGGAACCAAGGGAAAACCAGCCCGACAGAGGGCAGAAGGGAGGCAGCCTTAAAGGCGGACTTCCTCTCTGGGCCGCGTTTGGCGGGGGGGGGGTGTGGTGCCCTGAAATACCAGCCTGGGAGGCCGAGATTGGAGCAGGGAAAAGGGGTGACCAAGAGCGACTGTGGGGTGACAGGACAGCCAGAAGTCCCAGGGTGTCAGGGGGGAGCAGAGCAGCAGAAAGCAGTCAGGGGGCATCTCTTCTCCACTGCAGCCAGCACAGAAGGGGATTATTCATCCCCCACAGGCCTCCTGACTGCTAGATGAAGCTCAGGAAATGATGGCTGCAGCCATTAGCAGTGTTCCCCTTCCTGAAGTCTCTGTCAGGTGAACGTCCTCTGCCCCTGTGGGCTCAGACACCATGGCCAAGAGGCGCTCCCTCCATGTGTCCTGCTACCTGCCCTGAAGTCCCTTGACGCAGTCCCCAAGATGAGGAGCTCCTGGCATCTGCTGACCATGACTTCCTAGCCTCCTCCTATGTTTTCAGTTCTGAAAGTTGGGGCTACTTTGCCCCAGCAGGCACCAGCTGGCCTCTGGCCACATCTCAGTGGAAGGGCAATATAGTATTGGTTTGATACTCATCTATAAGCCTTTTTTTTTTTCTTCTTTGCAGCTGGCTGGTAAGGGGTTCTGAATCCTTGATCTTGGTGTTACCAGCTCTGTGCTCTCCCAAGTGAGCTAACTGGCCAGCTTATTTAATTTCAATTTGAAAACGATAGCAGATAATGTGGTGTTTTAGAAAGAAAAAGCAGGCATCTCCCACATCCCAGAGGGTGATCAGATCAGCCCAACTAGGATAAAGTGAGCTCCAGTCCCATCCTAACCATTTGGCAAAACGGTATTTCTGGTGTTTATATCAAAAGGCTTTGCTCCCCAAACTGAAGCCCTGAGGTTTGAATATCAGGAAACAAAATAATAGCCTTCTAGTCTCTCATCCTCCCTACCTGGGCTGTTTCAAACTGCTCCAGAATGTTCCAAACATCCTCTTCCCTCTCTTGATGTTCCTCTTCCCTTCTTTCCTTCACTACCCTCCTCCTCAAGCTAGAAGCAACATTCAGTAGAAAGGAGTTGACGCATGGGGGACAGAATAAGGAGAGAAAGGAGAAAAGGAGCATGCCACGTCCTCCTGCCCCCATGCCTGGGTCCTGGTTTCACCAGGAATCGAGGAAAACAGTGGTGTGGCCCTTCCTCAGAGTCAGGGCTGTGGTTTGCGGTGTGTATCCAAGCAAGAGCAGCAAGTCTGCACTAGGGTCTCAAATACCACTCAGGCATCATCAGCCACCTTTGGTTTCAGAGACAGCCTTTTGGTGGGCACGACTGGCCTTGCGAGCAGATTCAGCAACTGCAGGGCGTCTTCTCACCTGGCCCCGGGGCCACCAGAATGGGGCTGGAATCCAGGGACAGGCCGCTCAGGGCGCCGTCCCCATACAGGTGCAGGCTGTTGCGGGCCATCAGCTCCCTGGCCATCAGCACAAAGACCTCGTCGATGTTCCTGGATTCCTTGGCAGATGTCTCCAAAACCGCCAGGAGGCCGTATTTCTCAGCCAGAGTGCAGGCGTCCTCAAACAGGACATGCCGCTTTTCCCACATGTCAGATTTGTTTCCTGGAAGTGGAAGATAAACACATATTCCATTGAGGAGCCGATTCTGGGTTTTTCAAAATGAGCTTTAAAAAGAACACTCTAGTTGAGCAACGGGCATGTGTGCATTCGTTCACAAATAGTAACTGACGGCAAATTTACCAAAAATGAAAGCACTGATGAATAGAAACAGAGCCGCACCCTTCATTTACTGTTGTGTAAGGGCTTGGAGCAGTGCACGCACGAGGCGGGCGTGTGTGTCTGTGATGGGCTGGCAGCCCTGGTATCCCTCCCTTCCACGTCTGACAAGTGCAGACTGTGACAGTCTCTCTCGGCCTTTCTTCTGCTTCCTTCAAGTCTTGCTCCTCTTTTCCCCTCAAACTACGAAGTGTTGGACACTGTGAGATGGGGGCCCCCATCCAACAATCCATTGTTGGATTATGGAGGCATAATGAAGTTTCTTTTTTTTTTTAAGCTATAATTTGCACACAATAAAACACACAGACTTTAAGTATAAAGTTCAATGAGTTTTGACAAATGAATACACTTCTGTGACCACCCCTCTTACTTTATAGAACATTTCCAGTTACCCCAGAAAGTTCGACGAGGGGTTTTGCAGGCGTGGCCTGGGATTGATGGCAGGAGAAGGTCTCTGTCCCTTCTGCTCTCCATATCAGTCCCTGCAATCATCAAGTCATTTGACTTTGATTTCTCTGAGGCAGGAATTTCAAGGAAAAATTACTTTCCCACAGGATTTGTTCTACCAGACATCAAGATTTATTACAAAACTGCAGCAACGAAGACAAGCTAGACCAGTGTTTCTCAACCTTTTTTTTATTAGGGTCCTCATAGGAGCCTTTTTAGACATTTTTCACCCTAGTTATTCCTTCTATCATGAAAAAATTTTAAACTTTTTATTTTGAAACAATTATAGATACACAGGAAGTTGATACACACAACGCGCACACACACACACACACACACACACACACACAGGTCCCGTGTACCATCTTGCATAACTATAGCACAATACCAATACCAGGAAATTAACATTGGTACAATCCACAGACTATTCACATTTATTGTCATGAAATGAAAGCGTGTCACATGCAGTCATTTGTGTGTGTGTGTATAATTTTTTTTTTTTTGGCCACTGGCCAGTACAGGGATAGAACCCTTGACCTTGGTGTTATCAGCACCATGCTGTAACCAACCAAGCTAACCAGCCAGCCCTGTGTGTGTATAATTGTACGCAATTTTATCACATGTGTAGATTGCTATAACCACCACCACAGTCAACATACAGAGCAGTTCCTTCAACACAAAGAACACCGTCGTGCGGTTCCTTCATAACCCCTCACCTCCCTAACCCCCAGCCCCTGGTAACTAATCTCTTTCATGAGTGTTGCAGGAATGCAATCATACAATATGTAGCCTTTTGAGACTGGCTTTTTTCATTTAATCTAACTTCCCTGAGATTCATCCAAGTTGTTGTACGTGTATCAGCGGCTCATTTTCAGTGTCTCAGCAGTAGTTTTTGCTGCTGAGTAGTTTCCATGATGTGGACGTACCACAGTTTGTTTAACCATCCAGCACCTGAAGGACACTGGGTTGATTCTAGTTTTTGGCTATTACAATTAGGGCTGCTATGAACATTTGTGTACAGGTCCTATGAAAATTTAATAGCACAGATCTACCATATCTGGCCCTTTGGAGGGCCACAAACCATTGTAATATTTTTCCACTCCTCAAGAAAATGCATGAAATAGATCAATGGAATAGAATAAAAAGCTCAGAAACAAAATTATGAATATGTGTACACTTTACAGAAAGATGGCATCACAGAGCAGCGGAAAAGATTGCCTTTTTAGTAAATAGTACTGGGACAATTGGATCTTTTTTTTTGGCAGCTGGCTGGTACAGGGATCAAATTCTGGACCTTGGTGTTATCAGCACCACCCTCTAACCAACTGTGCTAACTGGCCAACCCCTTATATGAAAAATTATGAATTTTTGACCCATACCTCTCACCACACACCAAAATCAATTCCAGGTAGATTGCCAATGTAAATGTAAAAGGTGTCATAATAATAGCTATAAGTATTTATAAATAAAGCTTGAATAGATAATATAAAATCTTGATAACTTTAGAGAAATATTTCCTAAATAGGACCCAGAAAATAATCATCATTAAGGAAAAAGTTTGCTGGGTTGAAATATATTAAAATTAACAATGTCTATTCATCAAAATACACCATCAAGAAAGGAAAAATGTCATCAACAGAGCAGATGGTGTTTGCAACACATATTATTGACCAAGAGTTGAGATCTCCTTAAAGAGAACCTAATGCAGAGGGTAAAAATGACAGACAGCCCAGCTGCCACCCCCAGATCCACCACCACGCTGGCTGGCATAGCACCCTAGCTGCACAGCCATCCATGCCTGCAGGATGCAAGATTCCATTCATCTGTCAGGCAACTTTGGCTCCAGAGCACCCTATTGCCTGAAAGGAACTTTTTAGAACTATGCACAGCCTGAGACTCTTCCTTCCTGCCCAATCCTCCTTCCTCCCTTCTCTCCTTTCTGAGGCAGGTCTACATCTCAGAGAGGACTCTCCTGCCTTCTGCTGCTTCCCCTCTATCCCTCACAGCCATTTTCCCAATAAGTCTCTTGCATGTCTGTCTCATCCTGTCCTGACATCTGCTTCCTGGAGGACCTGAACTGACACTGACTCATTTCCAGAAGACATAAGCTACTCCTAGTGATAAGAAAAAGACAAACAACGAACAGAAAAATGGGTGTGAGACTTGAAAAGCACCTCACAACAGAGGATATCCAAATAGCTAACACACGTATGAAAAGGTGCTCGACCTCAAGGATAAACAGGGAAATGCAAATGAAAACCACTAGTGCTATCATGACACACATCAGGATGGATGAAATTAAAAGGACGGATAATATCAAGTGTTGGTGAGGATGTAGAACAGATGGAGCTCACACACACTGCTGGTGGGAACACAGAGCAGAACAAACACTTTGGCAAGTGGCTTGAGATCATCTGGAGCTGCATGGCCATGCAATTCTGCTCCCGGGTATTACCCAATAGACATGCTTGCTAATGGGCATCACTAAACATATACCAGAATGTTCAGAGCAGCAATTTTCCTAATTGCTCCAAACTAGAAACAACTCAAATGCCCATCACCAACAGAACATGCAAATGAATATTATACAAATTGAGAATACAGGAATAAACAAACCAAAGTATTTCTCTCTCTCTCTTTTTTTTTTTTTGAAAAAAGATGATTAGTAAGGGGATCTTAACCCTTGACTTGGTGGTGTCAGCACCACGCTCTCCCAACTAGCCACGGGCCGGCCCTAAAGTGTTTTTCTCTTACTAAGCAACAATCAACACAGAAGACTTCTCTAACCACATGTGTGTGGGTTTCTCCGCACACACCAAGAAGTTCTGCATCAGACACCAGCTGGTTCAATTCTGTTCAATTCTAACACTATCCACCTGGAGACAGAGTCAGATCCCAGAGGTTGAGGGCTCAGTCCCACAAGACTGCCCCCACTCCACATGCCAATTGCAAGCCCCCGGTTGTTTTACCTGTGCTTCTGACTGACCTGCTTCCCACAACCCCCTCTTCGGGTTCAATTAATTTGCTACAGTGGCTCACAGAACTCAGGGAACACTTGTGTTTACTGGTTTATTATAAAGAATACAGGTGAAGAGAGGCATCGGGCGAGGTGTGGGTGAAGGGGCACGGAGCCTTCCCAGGAGCATTACTCTCCAGGAACCTCCTCATGTGCAGCTATCGGGAAGCTCTCCAAACCCTGTCCTTTTTTTTTTTTTTTTTTTAACAGCTGGCCAGTATGGGGATCTGAACCTGCGACCTTGCTGTTATCAACAACAGACTCTCACCAGCTGAGCTAACCGGCCAGCCTTCCTTTTGGGTTTTAATGGAAACTTCACCATGGAGGCATGATTGAAGCATGGACAACTGTGTAGAAATGTAAGTGCACAAAAGGGGTGTAATCTAACACTAATAAACTGAGTGGGAAACCCAGCAAGGCCTGTTTATTCAGATTCCTCTCGTCCTCTCTGTGCAGCGTTCCTTCCTCCTGAGCATGGGGCAGGGCCCTCCTGAGATGGGGGCCTTACGATCTACAATCAGACAAGTAGGCCAGAGAGTTTCTATATGTTCAGCTCCAAGACAGACAGGTGGGGGAAGATCAGAGTCCAGGCTCGGGGAGCCAGGAACTCTGGACAAAAACCAATATGTATACGAGTATATCATAATGTCACACAAGTTATGCAAAAGAATAAATTACAGCTACATGCAATAATACAGATGAAACTCATGAACTTAATATTGAGGGAAAGAAACAGACAAAAAAGACATTCTGTATGATTCCATTTATATAAAGTTCAAAAACAATAGCAAAACAGAACCACAGTGCTTAGGGATGTGGGCTTAGGCAGTAAGATGATAAAAAGCAGGGGAGTGGCTGCCTTAAAAGTCCTGTCGTGCTTACCTTTGGGAGAAAGAGGGGGTAACTGAGAGGGCCCGAAGTGCGCGGGCGGGGGGTGGGGGGACTGACGACACTCTCTTTCTTGACCTGGTAGTGTTTGCCCAGGTGCTCCTTTTGTGATAAATCAATGTGTACTTTCCTTTATAGTGTTACTTTGTCCTAATGAAAACCATAAAAAAAAAAAAAAAAATTTCCCACAGTCACAGTCTCCACCCTGCTCAGTGACAAAGCTGGACTTAGTTCATAATTATCCGTAAAGGAGGTTAAGTCCAAGAATGTTTTCAGGGGATGATACCACATTCTGGTATGTGGTAGCCTGAAAAATGGCCACCAAAGATGTCAGATTCTAATCCCTGACAACTGTAAAGGCTAAAAGGGTCTTTGCAGATGTGATTAAGTTAAGGATCTTGAGATGGGGAGATTTTTCTGGATTAGCTGGGTGGGCCCTAAATGCAATCATATGTGTCTTTCTAAGAGGGAGTTTTGACCCCACACATGGAGGAGAAAGTGACGAGGAGACCGGGGCAGACACCAGAGTGATGTGGCTGTAGCCAGCAGATGCTGACAGCCCCACAGAAGCCAGAAGTGGCAAGGGACAGATTCTCCCCCAGAGCCTCCAGAGGGAGCATGGCCCTGCTGACGACTTGATTTCAGCCCAGTGATAGTGATTTCAGACCTGTGGACTCCAGAATGGTGAGAGAACAAATTTCTGTTGTTTTAAACCCCCTGGCCTGTGGTCATTAGTTACAGCAGCCGTAGGAAACTCACATAGGTAAGAACCTTCAAGAGAACTATTTGCGTATGTGTAACTACTGCGGTTTAAGGTGAGGCCCTAGCTTTGCTTCTAGAAGAAAGGTATGAGAGCCCTTTGTGGAGGAAAGGAGATGGTGGGGTTGGGGACATACAGCCCCTGCCCACGGAAGGGCTTCTTCATCTTATTAGGGAGGCCAGAGAGATATGCAGAAGATTAAATAGCTATGTAAGAATTTACCGATCCCCGACAGGCCACCAAACAATCTATGCTAAGAACCAGGTGAACGGTACAAGTTGCTAATAGCTCAGGTGTACATCCCTTATCAGCCATTCCCACATCCCAAAAACTGAAACCCCTAACTTTTTGTTAATTCATTTGACAGTAAAATCTGAACTAAACTGGCCATTTGAAGTTTTTATTCAACCTGCTTTGTATGACTATTAATATGTCTGACTGCATAAATATGTATATATTTGGTCATGGGGTATCGGCCCAGACCCCGCTGAGCATGCTACACAACACAGAGGCACCTTTCTAAAATCCGACCAATTCTCAACTCCAAAATATTTGGCCCCAGCAGGCTTAGCTTGTGAACCTGCAAATATAACAGAAATTTAAGTGGAAGGTTTGGCTGAGATCCTAAGGAGATATCAGAGGCTGAAAAAGGTTATGAGACAGAACATCCAGTATAACCTACAAAAAGAAGTGGGCTCCTAAGCCCGTTCCTCTGATAGAGGGTGTAAAAGAATCAAGAGGTCAGAAATGAAGCCAGCCACCCCCAGGGAGAAAGCAGAGCTCAGTCATCAAGTGCCCAGTCAGCTGTGCCGGGAGTTTGTGTGTTCTCTTGAGGGCAGTGGGGGCCCACGAGGATTTTAAACAGGGACATTAGGACATGACCGAGGAGCTGGGCTTCTGTGAGTGCCTGGAGGAGTCAGTGCACAATAATCTCTTTGACCACTGGAGATATTCGTGTGATGAAGTGGCTGCGAGGGGCCAGGGGCGAAATTTTGAGAGAGAAAGAGACACTTGTACGAAGAAATGTAGAGACAGAATGGGGAAGATTTAGTGACAGGAGCAGGGACACTTCCTTGAGGGAACAACACATTGGGCTTTTCTGGATTCAGGCGGGAGGCCCCTGACAGTGAAGGGGAAGCCAGCAGGAGAGGCTGTGGGCGCTGGAGAGAGGGTGTTGCCTTCCAAAGATGGTGCAGAGGAAGGCCCCGAGAAGGAACGGCCTCCAGTGTTTCCTGGGGACGCACATGAATTTAACAGAAAGATGGATCCAGTCCACCTTCTGGGGAAACCTGAAGCGGTGAGACCTGCTTCATTCCCTCAATGAGATGCGTGTTCTTCACACCTATCCACTTTCTCTAGGAGCTACAGTTGCTGGGGTTTCCTGCCACCCCTGGAGGTCCCACGATGTCCCTACGCGTCTACTCAGCTCTTCAGGCCTCTGAGCCCCTTTGTCTACCAGGCAGAGTTCTCTCATCTGTGCCCTACTAGGAAACAACAGCTTCCTTTATTGACTTCTTAGCACCATGCTAATGCCTTATATATGTTAACCCTTTCAACTCAACAAAACCTTTAAAGCAGGTACTATAATACTAGCTTTATAGACGAGGAAGCAGAAATTTAGAGAGTGAGCAATGAGCCTGGGCCATGCTTTACCACGAAAAGATGGAATGGGGCAATTGGGTTCCCTTCCTGAGGAATGTGAGCCGGCTAACACTGAGAGAATGAGGGGCGCTGAGCAGGAGCAGGCGTGGATGATGCTTGGAGGGAATCCACGAAGGACTGTTCACGTGAGAGAGTGTGGCAGGCCCAAGTTGCCCTGCACATAAGACACAGCTCTGAGTTAGAGAACAAAGATGCACAGGAGAGGGCAAGAAGGAGGGGTAGCAGTGCCAGGAGGGCGGGCCCAGAGCCTGGCCCTCAGCCCAGGCCTGAGATGAGGGTCCTCAAGCTCTTGCTTGTCGGTGACCTGCCTCTACTATGGTTCCTGCTCTGGCTTGGGCTTGATTGCTTGGCTTTTCTGAGGTCCCATGGACTTGCACTTTTACCATAAAGCCTCTTTTATTTGAGGAACATAGATGAGTTAGTTCCTTCAAACTAATGAACCTTCTAGAAACAAATCCTGTCTTTTATTAAGTACTTACTATGTTCCAGGCACTGCTAAGCACTTTATATTACGCTATCTCATTAAACATTTTTACACATGAGAAAACAGGCTCAGAGGGGAACTCACCAAGAACTAGGACATGTTTGGCGATGCCTTAATTACCCATTGGACTTGGTATGTTTAGCTTTTTCTCAGTCCCATTGCTGTCTAGATCGGTGCTTTGCAAACTTTGATTTGCATATGAATTGCTCTAGGATCCTGTTAATAAGAAGATTCTGATTCAGCAAGTCTGGGATGGGGCCTCAGATCTCGCACTTTTAACAAATTCCAAAGTGATGCTAATACTGCTGGACCACAGTATTAAGAGTCTAAATAAAACAACTTGCCAAAATTAAGCAGCCACTCAGTACACAGTAGCATACTTAGGGAGGAAAAGCCAGCCCTGCTCGCAAAGCAAAAACTATAGAGAAGTGACAGAAACATGCTTTTCTGAATGTACAATAAGAGTGCTCACATTTCAAGCTGTTAGTTTATTCTGTGTGGTTGAAGTTTCTGTTAATATTGATGTTGGTTTGTCAAGATTCACTGAGGATCTTAAAGGGTGTAAGTAGTCAGTCTCTTAAAGGGGAAGTCAGTCACATTCACCTGAATGGCTCCTGGGGATCTGGAGCCACCTGACTCTTAACCTCAGACTCCAGCAGCCCTTCCTGCATGGTCTACACAGCCCGAGTGTGTGTGTAGAATCAGCTGGGTACTCCTTCTATGCAGCTGTCTGCACCCCTCCCAGACCTCTCAAATGAGAATCTCTAGGGGGTGGCCTTTGAAACCTATATATATATATATATTTTTTTAAAAGATGACCGGTAAGGGGATCTTAACCCTTGACTTGGTGTTGTCAGCACCACACTCAGCCAGTGAGCGAACCGGCCATCCCTATATGGGATCCGAACCCGGGGCCTTGGTGCCATCAGCACCGCACTCTCCCGAGTGAGCCACTGGGCCGGCCCTACAGCAAATTTAATTTAAACCTCATTTGGCTTTATTGTGATTCTACAGTCGGGAAACACTTCATACTATAAAATAGAATAAGTGTTCCAATGAACCAAGCAGAGGCGGT